CCCCCCTAAACCCTAAACCCTAAACCCTCGCACAAGCGCAGCGAGGTGCTCCTGGGCGTAGGCCGGCTGGCTGAAGGCCGGCAGGTGCTGCAGCTTGATAAGCAGCGCCAGCGAAATGTCTTTGAGTTGGTGGGCGCTGCGGGTGATGGCCGCAAAACGAATCATCGTCCAGGGCAGGTCCTGCAGGAAGGGCGGCAGCAGCCGCTTCTCCTCGCGGGACAAGTGCGGGCAAGACGCCACTGCGGACTGCACGATGCTGAACACGAAGTTCCGCCTGCGCCCAAACCCTAAACCCTAAACCCTAAACCCTAAACCCTCGATGTCCACGCTGCACAAGCGCGCAGGGGGAAGGGGGCTTTCGGGGAGGGTGCGACTTGGGTGGAGTTGGGGTGGGGGAGATGGCCGGGTGGCGGGGCGGGGCCGTAAACGCTGAACCCTAAACCCTTAACCCTAAACCCTAAACCCTAAACCCTTATTACTTGCTGACCAGACGAAGAGGTCGTTCCAGCAGCTGATCGCGTCGCAGTCGTTCGGAAGACGGTCTCTCCATGCGTTCAAAGTCGTACGCACCAATGGGACCTCCCCTGATGCCGCAAACCCTAAACCCTAAACCTTAAACCCTAAACCCTAAGTCGAGGTATGAGAAGCCAAACCCGAGGAGCTTCGTGAGGCATGCCCTACGACACGTCTTTTGAGCTCTGCCGCAGCAAACAGCATTGAAACTGTCCCCTAAACCCTAAACCGTGAACCCTCGCACCTGGGCTGCTGATTTTCTTGGCCAGATGCAGAATTAGTTTGTAACCCTCAAGAAGCTCTACATACAGCTGGAACTGCAGCAGCAACGGCACGTGGGCGTCGGTTGGCTGCAGCCACAAAAACCTCCAAACCCTAAACCCTAAACCCTAAACCCAAAGCCGCAATTCCAGTTTCGGATGACTCATAAGCCCATTCTAGAAGACTTAACGAATAATGTATATTTCGGAATGCAGCGTTTGCTGCGAAAGACAGCTCGTGGTTTAGGGTTTAGGGTTTAGGGTTTACAATTGAAGGGAGGCTTCTCCACGATTGCAACAGCAGCCGCTGCACCTCAGCGCAGTGCATGTCGATTTCCTGCCACACAAAACCCTAAACCCTAAACCCTAAACCCTAAACCCTAAACCCAAAATCATCAATTTAAGCCACAGCTACTGCGCTGCACGGGGCATATTGCCTGCAATTGCAACGGCTGCAGGTCATCTTTGCTAGGGTTTAGGGTTTAGGGTTTACCTGCAGCTTCTCCGTCCTAAACCACGGCCTAGAATCCGTCTCAAGTTGCCCCTTGGGATACAGCACTTCGTGAAGCGACTGGTAGGTCTGCGGCCCCAAACCCCAAACCCTAAACCCTAAACCCTAAACCCTACGGAGTGAGCAACAACTTGCCCTTCACTGATGGCTCCCGCGCAGGCGCGGCCTCGCGCACCTCCCCGCTCCCCAGGCCCTGCCCGAACCCCGAAACCCTAAACCCTAAACCCTAAACCCTAAACCCTAAACCCTAAACCCTGACTTGGCAGAGCTTGGTGGCGGGTTCGTTGATCTGGTGCAGCTGCAGCAGCCGGTCTATGTCCCCCCAGTGCTGCAGCTTTGCTGCGCACTGCAGCGAAAGCCGCGAGCGGCGAGCAGCAGCTTGCGAAACCTCGTGCAGCGAATTCCAGCGGTTTAGTTCGCGGCAACAGTCAATCCACATCCGCTCCCTGACACAAACCCTAAACCCTAAACCCTAAACCCTAAACCCTAAACCCTAGACCCACTGCGCTGCAGCGCCGCGCGGAACCCGCGGAAAACGGTTGCAGAATGCCCCGCACAGGAAAAACCCGAAAACCTAAACCCTAAACCCTAAACCCTAACTCAAGACGCACCACCACGTGACTTCCTCTCGCCGCTCTTCGGTGTCCAGGCGCATGCCCTGCACAAAAAACAAACCCCAAAGCGCAAACCCTAAACCCCAAACCCTAAACCCTAAACATAGACCCTGGTCCCTGCATCATCTCGACGCAAGCCGTCATCCCCCGCTATCGCTGCGAGTGTCGAGGGTTTAGGGTTTAGGGTTTGGTGAGGGTTTAGGGTTTACCTGGGCCTGGAGAGCTTTTAAATTTGAAACTAGAACATTTTTTGCAGATCCAAAGTGGCTGTGCTGCATCAAAGAAAGTGCTGCTGCTGTTGGGAGGCAGCGGGCGCGGCTGTTGATGACTCCCACTCTGTAGTCGCTTTCTTCGAGGTGTGCGTAAACCTCCGCCAAGTGCTGCGCCGCAAACCCTAAACCCTAAACCCTAAACCATAAACCCTAAACTCTAAAGCCTATGCCCTGCGCGCGGGCCACTCGCCCCCAGCCGGTGAAGCGCCGAAGCAGCGGCACGCTCAGACATAAAACTTTAGAAGAACGAATTAAATTCAGTAAACGCTAAACCCTAAACCCTAAACCCTACACCCTAAACCCAGCGTCTGGGGAAGCAAACAGCTGCCAACCTCACCGAAGCAGCCTTGCGAGCTAGAGACGCATACTGCTGCTGCTGCTTCTTGTAAGCTGCAACTGCTGCTGGGTCTCCCTGCTGCTGTCCATCGGCCGCAGCAGCAGC